AATATTTTGTTCACTACTAGCACTGTAAATAAATCCCACTGCTTGCACCGAAGCCAGCTACCTGGGTCCGTTATTTTTTCCACTCGCTCATTAGTGTGTTTGAGCGGTTCCTAACAGCATGAAGCTGCCGATAATGTTGTGGTGAACTCAATTAAATGGCCAAACAAGGATACATAAAACAAAACCGTCTCTTTAATAAGAGTACTAACACTGAACAGAAAAACAAGACAAGACACGGTGTAACACAAAACGCACTTACGGGTTGGTATAACAGGTCAGAGCCAGCAAACACATACAGCAAAGGAGTCCAAAATGCGTTGTCCAAAGGGAAGTCTGATAATTCATACAGAGTACGCAGTCCAAAGTTAGAGGGTAAGGCAGAACAGAATTGTCAAAGTACACGATCCGAGTCAAACACAGAAAATACCAAAACCAAAAAATGCTGGAGAGTCAGAGCTTGATTCTACAACAATCTGAATCTAAACAATCTAAATAGAGGTGAAAACAGGTGCAAACAATAAGGAGCGGGTGAAACTAACGTGAGTGATGATGAAAGTAAAAAGACCAAAACTGTGGTGAAGCAAAACAGGAAGTAATGTCAAAATAAAAGCACGACAGGAAGCAGCGGAACCAAATCATGACAGTTCGTGTGCCTATATGTGCAGCTTTAACCATTACCACTTAAAAGTGTAAACCCACTAAAATCATAAGAATGTCAATATCATCCAAAGTGACTCAATAAAGAGAGTATTAAACCCTTACAGGATTTTTATACAGAAGGTTAAAAAGGTTACAGCGGCAAGCAGCAAGATATAGCATCAAATCATCAATTGTCTTGATTGGGTTAAAATCTAAATAAATCAACAACTACTATTGCTAAACATCAAATCTAAAATGATCATACTGATTAAAAACATTTTCATTGGTTGAGCGCTTGATCTGAATAAATGTCAAAAGTTTTTTCACTACATCCTGTTCTCAGCTAGCTCAAGGTGGGGTGGAACGTGGCTATCTGTTGAAAATCTTCATTTCAGGGCAAATCATCTTTTAGGCAAGAATTCATTGTAAATCCTTTTAAGGCAAAAATTCATTTTCCTTGCTGAATCATGAGACTTTGGCACAGTTCAATGTCCCACACCGACGTCCCGCTCTCTGTAGCAGCTCTATTGGTGGTTTTATCCATTCCTCCCCCACAGGCCGAGCGCTCCAGAGGGGTCCTCTCCCGGACTGCTTCTGTCTCTCAGTCTTCTGTAAGTCAGACAATCAACTGGACAGAGCCTCCAGCTCCAGCTGTGAAAAAATATTCTCATTCCTCTTTTAGGCAGGGTTTTCAAAGAATTCTCGTCTCATAAACTTAGTCCTTTCATCCAACCAGATGCCACAGTTTGCAGTTAATACCTTATTTGGCGTGAAAGAATATTCTCATCAGGTCAAAGGCCATCCCTTGCATTTATGACCTACCCAAAATACACAAGGAAGGAGCCCCACTCAGACCCATTGTCAACAGCATCAACTCTGTGACTTACAACATTGCCAAGCATGTGGCCACCATCCTGGCTCCTTTGGTGAGAAACACAGAAAACCACAGAATTAACTCCCAGGACTTTGCGAGGAAGGTCAAACAACTGCAGCTGGACCAGGACGAGACCATGATCTCATATGATGTCACATCCTTGTTCACTTGCATCCCCACCACAGAGGCAGTCAGGGTGGTGAATAGGAGACTGCTGAAGGATGACACGCTAAACAACAGGACTAACCTCACCCCAGACCATGTATGTACTCTGCTGGAACTCTGTTTAAACACTACCTACTTCCAGTTTAGGGGGCACTTCTATAGGCAGCAACACGGCTGTGCAATGGGCTCCCCTGTGTCTCCTATAGTTGCCAACCTGTACATGGAAAAAATTGAGGACAAAGTCCTGTCTTCCT